CGTATAGTTTTTTAAAATAAACAAATAAAAGCAAGATGCCTCTCTCACAGACTGAGAAATGCTGAGGAATAAAGGGAGACAGGTAACCCGGGGTAGAAATTTTAAAAGGTAAAGTGGGTTGGAACAAACAGGAAAGGCTTTGAGGCCTCGAAGTGGAGGGTTCCCTCCACAGACAGACCCCTGGCTGTAATCAGAGGCAAGACTTCGTTTGAGCGCCTACTTTAGAGCCTCTGAAAGACTTCTTTTAAGAGTCAGTATTTCCAGAAGTATTAGATTCACTCTTGCTAACTGCATCCAGGGTGGCCATAAAGCTAGGATTAGTAGAGTTAACGGAGGAAACTACGCGGCATTCATTTTAGAGATTAAACAGGGGGCGTTACAATGTACGTGCAAAACAGGGAAAGAGGAAATTTCAGCCTGGAAACAGATTACAAGCAACCTCAAAACGAACTGATGACTCCCCAACAGCCAAAGTGCTGTCTCCCACCAACTCCCCTTTATCATTAAATGGTTTTTCCCACCTGCATGATTTCTATTGCGTCCGCCTCCAAAAGAACGCTCTTCTCTTCGAGACGCTACTCTTCCGCCTCAACAACCAATCGGCGCAGACGCAGGACAAAGTTCTTCCGCCGCAGCCAATAATAAATGCAAGTTCCAATACGCAGAGCCCGCCTTCTGTGGGAAGTGAAATGAGGGAGCCGCACAAAAGGCCACGCATCCTTTTTGTGATTGGCCGACAGGAATTCACTAATACCGTAATAGAGAAGGAGAAGCGGCGGGCAGAGGAAGGGAGTTTAGGGACTGGTCGGTAGGTGGCACTCAAAATTTGCGGGGAGGTTTGGATTCTTTGGACGGGCTGCTTTTGTATGTGCGTACTGTGCACGTGCAAATTTGCACCTTAATGTAGGTGAAGCGGAAATGCTAAACCGTTTCAGCTAAGGGCGCGATCAGTGATAAAAGGGTTGCATGCAGATGGAAGATTTAAGTCAATCCGCAAATTCTCTAAGGGTAAACAGTTACCCTTTTTTTCCCCCCTAGAAATCCTGTCGGAGAATAGTATACAGAAATTCAACAGGTCGAGATAAAATGGTAGTCGAATTCCTTCATGTTGTATAGTAATTCAGCCCAAGGCTGCCCAGCAGATCAGCTGTTTACTACTTGGATGCTGAAAAATGATAATGAGACTACCTTTAAGCACCTATCTTTTTCAACTTCGCAAAGTTCCTACAGATTAAAAAATTACAGGAGTGAAAAGTCACATTGGAAAGTCGTTTCCAGTAATTTTCTTTTTCAAAATTAGCCATTTCCTCCAACGAGATGTTAATGTTAGAGTTGTATAACCTGGTAATAATAGCAACGGCAAAAACAATGCAAAGAAACCTATTCCCCAAGTTGAATTGTCCAGGAATTCCAGTGTTTTATAGATATGGCATGATATTTGGCGCCAAAGTGTTTAGCAAATTTCCAAATCTGAATTGTGAATATTTTCAGCTTTTGTTTTAGTAACATGATTCTAGGGTGAAACTGCCTTTGACAGAAAAGAAGGTGAAATTACAGAGCCTGGCAATAGTTAAGCATCTACCTGTGATTCAGTTCATGTGTTTGCTAATATCAAAGGTCATAAGCCTTTCATAAATGGCTTACTAGATCATATACAAGAAGTTTTAATTATAAACACTGATGTTATATTTCAGAATCTGAATGATCCGAATGAGTATTAAGTGTATTTTGACACTTCAAATAGTCTCCCAATCTCACCACTATTATTCTATAACTTCCAGGCAGTTGCTGGGAAGACGAGTGTCTCTTATATGTCTGTGTAAGTCTTCTCCAGCCATGCTCCTCTGCAAATATATTGGACTATAGAATCTTCCTCTCTTGAAAGCTCTAATCCAACCCATCTCTAGGGCATCAGATTGTGGAAAGCAAATTTACAGTAACAAAAACATTTCACTACCAAGTACTATGGAATGCCTATTGATATACACCAGATTGATTGCATTGAGTTTGGACTTAGACATGCCTGGAGAAGACACCTTAAAATCAGTGCAACATCTCTGTCCCATTGATTTGAAAGGATCTTCTAAGGAGTTTGAATTGAGCCCATTAAACATACTTATTGTCCAGGGCTCAGAGAATTTTGGTGATAGTTGTATTTAACTTAAGTCCTATTCTATTTAATGGAACATAAATGAAATCATTTTTTTCTGGAATGAGGGTAGATTCAAGTGGCAGACAAAATTAAGGATGATTAAATAAAATCCAAGCTGGAAATACATAAATTAGCATGTGAGCTATAGATGAGTGGAGGAAGACCAACCTTCCTCACCCCACCTTTACCCAGTGTCTAGTTTTAGAATTATAAGGGTCATGATTTTATTATGACTGGGAGCAGGTAACCAAGTGGGTTTGAAATTTCATTCAGATTCTGTCCATAAATTGAACACTGATATAAATTTGAATTCTTGCAAATAGGTTCAGTTCTGAACAATTTCACTTTCAAAGAAGCACGTATCCAAATTCCTTTCAGCTCTAAGTAGGATGTTAGTCTCCATCTCTTGGAAAGATCTGCTGTTTTTGGACAATGATTTGCCTGCGAAAACAACTGAATGATCTCTAACCTAGAATAATGGGAGCTATTGGTAGCTGAGCTGGAAAGGGAATCAATTTTTCCCCCTCGCCCCAAAAATAGAAAGAAAAAAGAAAAGTCTAAACCGGTCTGGTGAGTGGCTGAGCCAGAGTTTAGTTTGACTAAGCCTTCAAAGAAAAGAATAGATGTAAAAGAACCAGACAAGTGAGAGCTAAAGATGTTAACCCTTTAGTTTCCATGAAGGGTAAAGAAATAGACACTACAGTAGAAGATTGTTTGGCATGGGTAAGAACTAGGACCAGGAAGTTCCACCAGTTAATATCAAATCAAATGTCAGTTTAAGAGTTATTTTGTTTTATTTTTAACAAGGAGCTCTTTGTTAGGCAGGTTAAGCTGAAAATTAGCTCCTAGTTTCCCATTGGGCATATGAACTCTGCTGTCCCCCATACTGGTCTGACATCTAGTAATCTACATTTTGTGTCTCAGAAAGTTGGATTTGGAGGTTTACATAGATGGATGGCAGAGTGCCCATTTACCAGGATGTTTTTGCTGGGCTTACCTGTCCTGGGAATTTCAGCCAGGAAAGGATTGTTTTCTTCTGTTGTCCAGTTTAGATCGGAAGCACCTTGGAGTCCCAAATCTGTATTTTTTATTTCCTTATTTTTAAATCTTCATAAAGAACCAAGTATATTGGGGACATTGTGTAAATAACAAATAGTCACGATTGTTGAAAGCTTTGCAAACATCATGATAGTGGTAGGCAAGTCTACTTCCCTATAAAAAAAAACAAAAACCCTCCAGCTAACCTTGCCCAGTGCTTCAGAGGCCTAAGCCCCAGCATGAACTGAAGCATAGCACTTGGCAATCCAGATGTATCTCTGGAGGGAAAGCTTTTCTCCCTTTCATAAAATCTAGAGGTGAAAAAATTATGTTTAGGAAGTAGCCCTTCATGTGGTCAAATCAGATTAATATTTATTTTTTAAAAATGAATTAACACAAAATTAGAAGACATGCCAGTGGCACCCTGCTCAAACAATCTGCCTTGAAGGTCCTTTATAAAAGCTTAAAACTGCAGTAAGAGTTTTTGGGACACCCTAGATATTAAGGGCAAGGTCCCACATAGGTATTTCTTACTCCATTTCACCAATTCATGAGCAGAACTATGTGACTCCACTCCAAATTCTGCCCACAAAGGTTTTGTTTATTGTAATAAAATTTGACCTTTAAGCAAGAAAGGAGGTTTACAGTTCTATACTGCAGATACAGAGTATTGGATGTCTCTGATCAACTCTCAGCCTGAGGAAGTACTTTAACATGAAATAGTGCTTGGGGTTGATTATGTTCCAATCCCACCATCTCTCTATTTATGCAGTTTTTATATATAGTTTTATATATATATTTTATATATTTTATATATTTTTATTTTATATATATAAAATATATATTTTATATATTTTATATATAGTTTTATATAGTTTTTATTTATAGACTGTTTTGATCTTCAGAAGGGATCACATCAACATGTTTGTAAGTCCAGAGGAATTCAGCAGGAATGTATTATAGTATTATGATGATGACAAACCAGGATGAAAATGATAATGATGATGATGACAAACCAGGATGAAAATGATAATACTGTGATAATACAATAAAAATATGCCTAGGATTTGGCTACCTAGCTCATTGTCTTTCATTTTCTTGCCTACCCTATTTTGCTGGGTTATTAGAAGGCTAAAAGAAATATCTAATAATAAATACAGTAACTGGAACTAGAAGTCACAAAACAAGCATTTATAAAACACGAGTTCACACGTGTCATTTATCATTTGATTACTGCAATATAAAATTATATGTACATGTGACTCTGAGGATTAAATCCCATAGAAGAATGTTTGTGAATTTTCAATTAACTTCTTAGCTGCCATGTTTTTCAGTAGTTGGTTCCCACATTTGTCAGAAGAAATAAGATGGCCGGATTATCAAAAGTGGATCTGGACAGGGAAAATTTATCTTCAATAAGTATTGCGAATGAGGATGGAGCTTACCTTCCTGCAGAATAATATTGTCCCCATGTGAGCGTTTGTACCCTGCAGGACCAGCCATTTAGCAGGATGCAATTTTTTACAATCATGATGTTTTAAGCTTTATCTTGTTAACTCAATTTGCATTCCAAAGTTTCTAAGCCTCTGTAGGCATGTGCATAATACATATATTGCCCATGGTTGTCAACATAATCCACCTGAGGAAGTAAAGTGTTTACCTATTTAAGGCTTTGACTCAGTAAATAAATCTCCAAAGCTTCATGGGACACATTCCCAACATCTAACACAGCTGGATTCTGGAATTTAACCCCGCTGGACTTAAACACCCCCCTCCTCCTTCTCCTCGGGTAAAATCAAATGGAATTGCTCTTAGGCAGCAAAAGGTCTCGGCTTAGATTTCCCTCACCATGAATATTCAGAACTCTCCCTGCTCAGCCTCTGTTGGCTCCTGTTTACTTTAGGCAGGAGTGGCTTAGTCCCTGGTTAACCTTGACATACAGAGGGAGGGAGAGAGAAGTGAAGCACAAATAGGTATGTGGCACCTCCACACACCTGAGATGTGACAACCACATTTTTACTGGTTGCCAAAGCCAACTCTACCATTTTTGCCACAAAAGTAACTCAACGTCCAGCTCAGTGTCTCCTTCTACCTCCCGTCTTCTCCATGTTGGTCTTTGCCCACAAGAGTTGAAGATACTGTTGAGCGTCGGACAAATCAGACATCAGAGGAAGCAGGTATGTTGTCTATGGCATTTTTAAGGGAGGAGGGAAAGGAAACTCAGACCACACCTGGGAACAGTGTGCCTTGCAGCCTCCACAAATGTTTAATTGATCACCGTAACAGATGTAAAGCATAAAACCAGTGGAACTGCAGTGGACAGAGTTTTGAATCTAGATGGGGCAAACACATGTTTTCATCCATGCTTATTCCTGATCTTTTCTGGATAGCCTCAGACCAAAATATAATCTCTTGCTCTAATCTATTTGCAAGGTGGTTGTGAGGATAGAATGAAGGAAGAACAACTTTTATTTGGCTTTCAGATAAGATGGGGAAACAAAAACATCACAGATGACACATTGAATAGCTGTCTATTTTGCATATTTCGCTTTTGCAAACCTGAGTTACTGCTAAAAATATACTTAACAGAGAGATCAAGCCTGATTCCTTAACTCAGGGATGGGCAAATTCATAAAGTTTTGGATTTCAATTCTCAGTCACCTCTAGCCAAGAGGGTAACTTACAAGGAATTGCAAGAACTAGTCCAAAACATGTGGAGGGCGCTGGTTTGCTCATTTCTGTCCCTATGCATGTCTTGATACATTTATTTACTTCATTGTCTATTTCAAAAGTCCGTCAATTTGTGACTTTTAAAAAGGCCCAGTTTTTTGTTTTGGGTTAGAGATGAGTGCTACTTCTCCCATGCCATTCCAGTAGAAGAAGGTTTCCTTTCTTGCGAGTGGATCCTTCTTACTACCTTCTTTATATAGGGAAAAGGAAGGAGGAAAATGAAAAGATGTATCTGTGCAGAACACTTCAAACAGTTTCTGATCTGTTTAAACAGCCTTGGTCCCAGCCAGCTAGATTCCTCTCAAGGAGGGATGAATTCAAATGCAAAATAGCATCCAGCATTGGCTAGTCTAGTACTCCTGAACCATGATTTATTTCCACTGTAAAGAAGTCCCTAGAACATTTTCCACGTAAGGGCACCCTCCAGTTGTGTTGAGACTACACTTCCAATCCCAAGGCATCTGGGGAGCACCATGTTGGGAAAAAAAACTGCTTTAGAACTCTCTTCCTTGAATGCTTTCAAGCAAGAGTTGGCCATCATGAATCATAAGGTGACTGGATTTTGTAAGTGGTTTTCTACTCTCCTAGATGCACTCTTCGAGTTCAGATACAGTATGTCTGTCTAAGACCAGAGTGTGTCTGATAGAAAACCTCTAGGTTCCACAGAAGACTGTGGGCGTGCATATCCAGTTTTAGCAGTGCACTGGCTGGGCTTGTTGGATCCCTCTGTTGCTCCATTAAGACTAAGATGGCACCTTAAAATATATTGACTTTCCCACGTTTCATTTTGCTGGGTAAGCTATTGTTCCAGTTGCTTGTCTATTGCTAGATTTCCCACTGAGGAAGGCCTGGTAAGCTTTACAGCAGTGTTTTTCAACCTTAGCAACTTTAAGATATGTGGACTTCAACTCCTAGAATTCCTCAGCCAGCCA